AAATGCAGAAAGAAACAACAGTCATCCAATAGAGCCTACACCGTTTCTCCATCCCATCCATTCATGTTGAAACACGAAGCCCTCCACAGCGCTTGTGGCTCCTGGTACTCTCCGCAGAAGGGCTGCCCGATCCTTTCAAGAACAAAACCCGAGTCCGACCAATGAAGGCATGAGGGAACCTCATAGCAAAAGGAACCTAACAGCAATGGCCTCCAACCTAAGAGCGATGGCCTGCCCTCTAGTAGTGATGGCCTCCAACCTACATGGCCTCCACCCTACTAGGGATGGCCTCCAACCTACAAGCGAGGGTGCCCTCTTCGACATACCATCTCGCCTTCAACTGAAAACATCACCCGGGCATTGACATTGACATAGCAACCGAAATCGAGCGATTCCCGCGGACGGGGGCCCCCGCGACATGTTCGAGCTCACCCGGATGCGGACCTCAGGGAACGACACACTTTTGACACCAACGCTATTAGGTTGGAGGCCATCGCCTGCCATCGTTATGAGGTTGGAGGCCATTGCTACTAGGGTTGGAGGCCATTGCTATTAGATTCTTGTCACTAGGAGAAAGGGAGTTTGACCTTTCAACGACGTGTTGGGTGGCAAAAACAAGATGTAGAACATCTGCACAAAAAGTCTGAGCTATCCAACGACATTGGAACCATCAGCACCTGCAAAAGGGATCGTTGCCATGAGGAAGTAAACGAAGACGTGACATGCAGGCATGCTGCTAGTCATCTCTCAGGGCAAAGTTCTTCACCCAACATGGTCTTTATGCTCTTACTGCTTCGACCAAACTTTCTGACGGAAAGGCCAGCCCGAGATCAACACAAACCTTGCTGCCGCCTCCATCACTCGCTGAGAGATTCTTCGCAAAGAAGTCCTGGTCATGAAACAAGAACATGTCTAGAACATGTTGTACTTTAAATAGCTTGCTTCAAAACATAGCTTTTCCCTAAACATCTAGGAACCACATGAGTAGTGCGAGCGCTTCTTCAAGGAAGCTTCCTGCGGCGGGGGGAGCTTCCTTGAAGAAGCGTGAGCTATCCTGCGTCCTGTCAGTAGTAGCGTTCTTGTATCTACTAGCTTACCTCTCCTTAATTACTTAAGTAGGGAGGGGGGAGTGGGCTTGAAAGCAAATATAGAATTATAGATATACCACACCTAAAAAATAGCTTGCTTCACAACATAATGGCTTTAGATATCTTTAGATGGTTTTAGTTGGCAATCGCTCGCGTCCGTCCTTGATGTTGCCCAGCAAGCCCGCGGATCGAACAACGCGTCGTTTAGGCCCTCATCGGGTGTGTGCTTCCCAGTGTGTGCCATGCCAGGCATTTGGATATGCTGACTGAAGCAACACTTGCTTAAACATGTTTTACAGTTTCCTACCTTGAACAGTTAATTCCACTTCCTTCCTCCTGGAGGTCGATATCGAATCTCCTTTACTTTCGTCTTCCCCAGACGCGACACGAGCGAGCTGAGGCTTTGCACTCAGCCGCTCCCCACGGCTGGCTTTCCGTGCTCCCACCTGGGCGACCGATGAGACTCGATTTCCCTTTCTTCCGAACTGGGAGGTCTCTCCTCCCAGTTCACAATCCACATCCATTTGGATATCGGTTCTTTTATGGGAAAAAGAGAACATATATGAGGACGGTCTATCGAGAAAAAAACCGACCACTCTCGACTTTCGGAAGATCTGTGAAACCGTGACGGCCAAAACGTGAAACTAGATCCATAATGATCTATTGCTATTGGGGTGGAGGCCATCGCTAGTGGGTTGGAGTCCATTCCAGAAGACAACCAGTAGCACACCCGTCGATAATCTTCGGTTCGACGGGTCTGGCCGAATCGTGATCAATCAAGTGTTAGTTCTTCCGAATGGGGCGTGGACAACTTCACATCTCCATGGCGCGCTGTCCAGCCATTATTGGACTTCCGCATAGACACATAGCCGGGCTCATAGCGGTCAAAATGCATCGTGTGAGGCACATCGTTTTGAGGAGAAACGGGTTGGAACCCATAGCCATAGTATGCCATAGTTGCTTAATGCTGAGACTAAGCGACTAAGCGTCATAGCTGCTGGGATCCAGGCACGTGCAGCTATGGCCACAGAACCGCATGCCGCAAGGCTGGAGCGAGAAAAAACCTCGACTCACATGACTGCTTATCTGCAGCCAATTGGATATGCTTGGTTACAAATGAGACATAACATGCTACAGCTCCATATCATTCCTCATCCCACTACTAGGGTGGAGGCCATCGCTACTAGATCTTCAGGGCGTTATGGTACTGCAAAAGATCTGCCCATTGACCACGTCAATCGTAGTTGGAAGAGTCTAGCTGTACCTGCTTATCCACGTCTTGTTCATAGAGGATATACTGATATACTCCCTAGCTAGTGCAGCTTGAATGTGCTTGAGCATTATATCTCAATTGCTCTGTTTGCGACATTGGCTTCCCGGCCTGGGGAAAGCCCTGGGCAAGGCCTGTCTTGCTCTGGGAACATAAAGAGACACTGCAAAGTCGGATCCCAAACAACTTTTTCCAATGCCACATGCTACAAAGGCCACATGCTAAACCTCTCCTAATATGCTCTTGTCCGCCACATTGTCTGTGTCTCCGCTTTGTGCCTGCAGGCTTTGCAACTCCTCTCTCTTGGATGCTTCCGCCTCATGTCATGAGCAGTCGCACACACTGCCGAAGCTCATAGGTACACCACAATGTTTGAAACACGCCTTTCTCACGCAAATGTCCTGCTGAAAAACACACACATGCATTCTCAACGAACATGACAGAAAAAAGACAAAAAAACTTTCAGGGAAGGAGCAATAGCACAAAACCCTTGGATCTCAAACAGCATCAAACAGCCATGCCGAACACGATCTGAGATGTGATTCCTGCGAATGGGAACAGCCAATCCAGGTGTGAGGCGGCTCTAGGCTCTGGGCCTTTGATGACTCTGCTGGTTTGCACGGCCTCACAACAAAGGGCTCTTCCCTGTCTTCGAACACTCAATGATTCCTATTGATTCATATGATGGTCTCAAACTGCGTCCCACCGTCTTCAACTAAACACCACTGACAATGCTTCCATCACGATTCATAAACTGTCCGACTTTCTTACCCGTCCTGTGGCAATTGCAGGTTCATGGCGGCGACGCGCCCTTGGAGCGTGCAGCTCTGGCAAAGGCCAGCGAGACGTATCGCTGAAACCACGAGCCTATTGCAGAAAAAACATATTTTTTCTCTATTCTCCCAGTAGGTCGTGGACTCGACCGCTCATTCCGAGTAACAAGAAGGCAACTCTTCTCTTTTTTCTCCCTCAAACCTCTCTCTATTCATGTCTGTTTTGACAAGAAGGCAAACCCTCAACTACTCCTTGCTACGCGGATCCACGGTGCCTGAGTGCTCGGGCCTCAAAATCCTCAGCCTTCACGGCCTTCGGGGTTGGAGCCCCTGCTTCTTCGGGCTGAGCCAAGCTGCGTCCGAGCGTGAACATTGGATACCCCAAAGGTCCCACACGGATGTCCCTACGACTGGCCCCCTTAAGATCCGCTCGTTGTTTATTTCTTGTTTACTTGGCTACTAGTAGCTTCTTGTAGCTTCTTCTGTTCTTTTTTTCTTTCTGTCCTGAGACCTTTTCAACTCTCCTCCTTCCGTTTTTCTCGGCCATTTCTTTCTTGCTGAAACCATCATCAAACTAAACTGCCTTCTTTGAGGGCCTTAGGTGACTTTACAAGCTCTCCACTCTCAACTTCAAGAATCAACTACTCTGAATGACCAAAACACTGAAGGCACATGTCCTCCATGGCCTAAAGTTGCCATAATTCTCTGTGAAGCATTCCAGAACCAAATACCCAAACCCTTTTAGCAGCGGCTGTCCTCGAACTAGTAGAGTTCTGTAAGCAGCCCAGAACTAAGGCCGTGGTGACATTCTTTCCACATTCTCCCTGTCAGCTGCTGTATCTTGGCTCTTAGCGCCAGCTCGATTTTCTCAACGCCGAAGCGTCTAGATATCGGTGAAACTGCGTTCCTGGCGGCAGATCGACTGCCGGATGCGCCGGTCGGCACCACAATGGTCGTAGCTGGCTAATTTACATTCCTAGGCATCAGATAATATGACTCATATACATAACTCAAAACCAGAAGTGTCTTGAAGCAGCTCTAGCAAAGCCGTTTCTACCGATATGCTTTGAACAGCACTCACCGAAGTATACTTCCACAAATGCAAACGCCTTGCACATACAGAACATCCAGATCCCATCCGAAGGTCCCTCTTGAGGGTCGCCAATTGGCGACCAAGTGGGCAGAAGACAGTCGACAACAAGCGAACTTGTTCCTAGTAGCTTCTTGTTTCTAATAGCTTCTTGTTACTACT